TTCATCATCTCTGTATTACTGAGAATAAAGCAGTTCTTCTTCAGGTTTGAAACAGTCAACATCGCCTTGTTTTACTCTCTCGCACACACACATACGTCGAACCTTTTCCCACATTAGAATTTATGGTGCCGAGACCAGGATCTTGAACTGAAACAGAGAGTAAACCAAGACATCATCGATATGGCAGAAACTGACGGTCAGAAAGCAAGCAAGAAGCGTAAGGGCAACAGAGGACAGATGAACAAACAGATTCACAAAGCCGAAGAACTCATGCAAAAAGACGAATTCCTGACATCCGATAAAGATGTGATGACTGCAACAATACAAGATATAAGGCAACGTCTAAAGACCATTCAAGAATGCGATGACAAAATACTGGATGAAGCCGAAAACGATGAAGTATACGCCAAAATATTCGAAGAAGCAGATAACTACGGAATCAAGATAAACGAAACTTTGGTGCATTTCCAAAGCTTTCTAGAGAGAAACACTGAACAAAGACCGGTAACAGAGACACCCACATCACCCGATACTTCGATGACATCAAGAACAACAAGAACGGTCAACCTACCCAAGTTACAGTTACCAACGTTTGAAGGTAACATTCTGAAATGGACCACGTTCATTGACGCCTTTAGGTCGTCCGTAGATAATGACTCTAGTCTGGAAAACATCCAAAAATTCCAGTACTTGATGACACAACTAAGTGGTAAAGCAGCAAGAACTGTCAAAGGTCTGCAGTTAACCAACGCAAACTACTCAGAAGCACTGACACTCTTAGAACAAAGGTATGGTCAACCACATAAGATTATTTCTAGCTACATGAAGGCATTATGGGAGCTACAACCACCCGATAATTCTTTATCAAGTATGACCAATTTTTACGACAATCTAGAAACCTACATTCGTGGATTGCGATCTCTTGGTAAAAAGGAGGATTACTATGGCGATCTACATGTTCCGATTATTTTCGAGAAGTTGCCTGCAAATACAAGAACCCAGATTTCACGCGAACATGGTAATAACGCCTGGTCAATAACAGAATTGAAGAAAGCCATACACAAAGAAATCCAAGCTAGACAAGCGGGTAATCCGATAGAACAATTCAATGAGCAACACGCCACTGAAAGATATTCACCCTCTACAACATCTTTTCATGTTGGATACAAGTCGAACAGATCTTCCGATTTCAAGCCTAGACCCATCAAATGTGCATACTGCAAAGCCGCCCACTCAGCACATGCTTGTGAAATCATAATTGGACCCGATAAACGTATGGCTATAGTGAAAAGAGACAGATTGTGCTTTAATTGCTTAGGACACCATAAAGTACATGAGTGCAAGTCTAAATATCGCTGTAAATTCTGTCACGGGAAACACCATTCTACACTCTGCAACAATGCTAAGAAGACACCCGTGAAATCACAAACTTCCGGTATTGAAGACACACGTCAAACTGACACCAACTACCAGTCCAGTATTACTTAAAACTGTCTCTGCGACTATCTCCAGTTCAAGAAAGGGAACTTCTGTCAACATATTACTAGACGAAGGCGCCCAGCGCACGTTTATTACCCAAGATATAGCGGACAGACTTCAGATTGACACCCCGAAATGCCGAACAGAAAACCTAAATCTCGCTACATTTGGTGCTAACAAGACGACTGTTCAAGCAAGACCTATTGTTCGTATCACCCTACAAACAAAGCAAGGACCGGTTTCCATTGAGCCCTGGTTGTACCAAGAATTTCCACTCCAGTCACTAATTACGTGAGTGTTACTGTTTCTAAATAAGAGTATCTACAAAAACTACCACTCGCACCTCATGTCGAAAAGGACACTTTCGAAATAGGGCTTTTGATAGGTGCCGACTACTATTGGTCCATTGTGCAAGATAACGTGATTCGGGGTCCTGGGCCAACTGCAGTTCAGTCGAAATTGGGCTATCTTCTATCTGGACCGACCAACATACATACATAACAATACATCAGTTATGAACGCTACATGTTTAAAGGTTATGGTAGACAGTACTAAGGACGAACTCAATTTCTCGCGATATTGGGACTTAGAAGCCATCGGTATTTCTCACAAAGAACACTCTCGTCAGACTGATTTTGAAGAGTTCAAAGAAAATAATTTGACCCGCACCAGGGATGGCATATATGTAGCTAGTCTACCATGGAAGGAAAATCATAAAACTGTACCCCCTTGAAGTACAAGATGTTAGTTTTAACAGTTCGTCCGTCAGCGATACAATTTCAGCGACTCAACGAACAACAGACAATGTGAAAACAACGCGTCCAAAAAGAATGGCTGCACTCAATGCAAAGGAATTTATTAGACTCTCGAGTTGAGACAATATGTAATCTGTATATCGTACTGTACTGTAAACAGTGTGCTTGACATTAGTTCGTTTGTTGTATCTAAATACATTCGTTTATTTTTAGTTTATATTTTTAATTTACACATT